TGTCTGAGTACTTTTGCCTGAGATTTGACTGGGATCAGCCTCCTAAATGATTGAATAAACATCACAGAGCTCACCTTCTATGAATCATGTGGCCAGTGTGTGCTACTGGAAAAGAATCATAGAAACACAGACTGATTTGGAAATTGGGATTGAGAGAGGAGGCTTCCCACTAGGGAAGCAAGGGAAACATGGGACACCGTGCTCAGCAGGAGGATGTGCCAGTGGCTCACAGAAACCTGCTGGTTCAGGGTGTTGGTGTCACCCAACACCCACCCCAGGAAAATCATTTCAGCAGTGTGGGCTCAGTATTTGTTTCCCCACCCTCCCAGAGACAAACCCAAACTGTGAGTCTTTGGGATTGCTCGATTATAAGGGATTAAGATGCAAAAACATCTCAAAACAGAGTGAATTCGAGCTGAATCTCTGGCACCCAAATGTGTAAATATTAAAACATGAGGAGTTCCAAATTATAACACTTCAGGAGGGAGTTTTTATGCCAAATTCCAACGACATCAGTTTCAGTGGTTGTGAAACGTGAAAACCAAACCTAAAGCCCTTTTCAGGAGAAGGTTCTGTCTTTAACTAACTGGTATTTTCTTAAGTGAGTGGAATTTGAGTGGCTGGAAGATGGGATGAGTCAGGTCCTGAGCCAGCAGAGCGGGTTTGACAAACAGTGTAGAGAAACACAAGCAATGCCTGGGCTGCAGGATCAAGGCCAGGGCTTAGCAGAGCAAGTTGATCTTCCTATTTGACCTGTCAGATTTTGAGTGAGAAAAATACACCGAGAATCTTGTGAAATTTCAGCCTTTTTTTTTCCCCTGAGTCTTGGTGGATAAGTTTTGAAGAGTTGATCCCTGTCTTTTACCTCTGACTAAAGTCATGCTGATGTGAAAATTAAAAAAAAACCCTCCCTGGAATTTCTTTAAGTTGTCAACATGCCCCACTAGGTGTGACTCTGACAGATTAATGTCCTGCTTCTGGCATCTCTGACCCCTCCACCACTGAAAATTAAAGCTGGGGATATTCATATGAAGTAGAGAGGTAAAGGAGCAAAATACAGGAGCTGTGAGTGCCAAAGTTGAGGCTTGTCCCTGAAGATGGTGGAGGTAACTGGAAGGAAATGAAAGGTTTTGTACAGCATTTCTAAGGCAGTTTTGGTCATAACTGTCTCCCAGTGCATGTTAACAGGAGAAATGAGCTTGGAAGGAATTTCAATGGAGCTTGAGTTGAGGTGCTGAGACACCCTTGATGAAAAACAAAAATTGAGCATCTAAGTGGAGACTCCATTGAAAATCCTCATCCTGTGGTCCTGGCTCTGCACTTCTATTCAATCCATGCTTTGGGGGAAAATGTGGTTTTTTGCTTGGTGGAACCTGTGACACTTTCTAATTCACGATATTTTTCACTTTTTTTCTGTGTGTGTGTATATGTGTGTGTTTTTGCCCCTTCCCTTCTTTCAGAGGCCATGCCCCCCCTGGGAAACCTCACTGTGTCTGACATTAACCCCTATGGGTTCACAGTGTCGTGGATGGCATCGGAGAATGCCTTTGACAGCTTTCTAGTGGTCGTGGTGGACTCTGGCAAGCTGCTGGACCCCCAGGAGTTCCTCCTCTCGGGAGCCCAGCGCCAACTGAAGCTTAAAGGCCTCATAACTGGCATTGGCTATGAGGTTGTGCTTCATGGCTTTGCCAAGGGGCACCAAACAAAGCCCCTGAGCGCTCTGGCTGTCACAGGTATTTTGATGTGAACAAATTGTTCTCCTCCACCCTCTCTTGCTTCCCTTCTCCCGTGGGAGACGTTTCGTGCCATCCATTTGCAGAGCAAACCTTGGCTTTTGCATCCTTCTCTGCATCGTGGCTCCACGTAACCCCTCGGGGCTGGCAGGGGCACCAGGGGAACTCCGGGCCTTTTGACTTGTTCTCCTTTTGATTTGATGAGGGGTCCTGCAGAGGAGCATGTTGGGGCTTGAGGGGTGAAAGTGTCCGGTCTTGCAGGTCCTTCTAACCAAAGTCTTTCCAGAAGAATGGCTGCATGTCTCGTTAACAAGAACGGGAGCTCCTCTTGTTAGCAGCTGCTGGGCACATCAGCATTCTCCAACAACATCAGCATCCTCCAACCTGCCAACCATCAGGACCTTCAGGAGGTCATGGATCTCTTGCCATGGCCTCCTTCCTTTCCCTCTCTGTGTGGGTTCCACCCACAGCCTGAGTGTGATCGTTGCCACCTGTAAAGCTGGCATCTCTCTCCACACAACAGCTCATTTCCAGCCACATCAGAGCTGCTGTTTTCCAGCAGCACTTGAGCTTCCTCGGAAAATCCTTGCAGATCCTCTGGCCCCACAGCCATCAGTTCTCATCTGCACGTGCAGCAGTAAGGCTGGGGGTTATCTGGTTGGAGGTTTGTGAGAAAATAAAGAGGAATGTCTGTCTGTGGAAGGAGGAATTGCACTGGAGATGCTGTAAGACAGTAGCAGCTCCGGCAGCATTTCTCTAGGTAATGAGGCCTGAGCACATTGAGTTAAAGATGTTTTGCAGGTAATTAATATTTTACGGCTCCTGGGATCCTTTTGAGTGGGTTCATTCACTAAAGACAGTAGGTCTTGCATTTGGACTGAAGTGTGCTGTGTGAGGGATGTGGATTTTCATGATTCCCCTTTGCTGCTTCAGCAGTTGTTTAACAGCAAAGGACTCATCTGGCCAGAAGCATCAAGGATGCCAGAAGTGCATGAAAAAAGGGGTTTGCATGGAGAAAAAGACTCTTTCCAGTGGCTTCTGTGTTGTTCTAACAGAGAGAGGCCTGACAGTGTTCCAGGCATGCCTGCAGTTCTATAACAAGCTTGTTTTTATTGTACATGAAGGTGTCACATAGGTAGGGAGGGAAAAATGCACCATTAGCATGTGTAACTTTGCATGTTGGAGGCAAAGGTTGTATGTCCATGCAGTGGATTTGCTGTTGGAGAGTGAAAGCTGGAATGGGCCTGCACACACTCACATTTATCCCCTTTGGTATGTTTATAACACTAATAATCTCTTTTATTTTTTTTTTTTTTTACTAGCTGGCAGATTGTTTCCCTTGCTTTGAACTGTGGTTGGATTCTTGCAGTGTGCTATAGCCAGGCCTCAGGCAGGTCTCTGATCAACTCATTAAACCCCCATTTCTTCTCCCTGCTGCTATCTCCTCCTTTTTTTTAGAAGCAGAACCCGAGGTCGACAACCTCCTGGTTTCAGATGCCACCCCGGATGGATTCCGCCTCTCCTGGACCGCAGATGACGGGGTTTTCAACAGTTTTGTTCTAAAAATCAGGGATACCAAGAGGAAATCCGACCCCCTGGAGCTGATAATCCCAGGCCACGAGCGCACCCAGGACATAACAGGGCTCAAAGAGGGTACTGAGTACGAGATTGAGCTCTATGGACTTAGCAGTGGACAACGTTCCCAGCCTGTAAATGCAGTGGCAGCCACAGGTATTGTCTCTGCAGTAGGAAAAGTGTAACCCATTAATTCCTGTTCTTTTCAGCACCTCTCATCTTCACAGCCAGCTCGTGCTGCTCCTGAGCTGTCTCCTGCATACCCCTTATCCACTGGCTCAATGTGGTTGTTTATAACCAGTCTCAGATTCTGCAGCTTCATCACTGTCTGTTTAACAGGGTTTAATTGAATTACTTTCATGATCTGGAATTAGGCAGCAGAGTCTGGCAGTTAAAGCATTGTCTTTGAGGGCCAAGAAATATTGTCTCTGCATCAGCCTTTTTCAGGGATTTCTTGTGGCTAATTACATCTCAGCACTGCACAACAATTTACCTCCCTAGAAAAGAATTATGACAAAATGAATTTACCAGAGCCACTGAGAAGTTTTATTTATGCCTTTTTTAGCAAAGGCCTAAGCATCATTAACTTAGACTGATCTTACTGGGAGCAAGGTGTGCTCAATAATTCAAATTGACTTGAGTTTCTGGCAATATCAAAGCTCAGATTTGGGTTCAAAATTGAAACATTTCATTTTGGCACGTAAGAATGAAGTGCTTCGTTTTTTTTTCCCCACCAAAGTCATGGTTTCATTTTGAAACATATTTAAACCTAAAGCAAATGAATCCGTGTCCCATGAGCCAAATTCACTCTTTTAAAAATTCTGAGCTTGCTGATACGAAAAAGTGGTTAATTCAAATCTGCTTCATTCCAGGAGGAGGGGAACAGGAAGGGGACAAGTCTCTGAGGGGAGACCTCATCAGGGTCTGCAACATCCTCCCAAGGGGCAGCTCTGAGCTCTGCTCTGGATGAGCAGGGACAGCACCCAGGGAACGGCTGGAGCTGTGCCAGGGCAGGGTCAGGTTGGATCTCAGCAAAAGGTTCTTCCCCCAGAGGGTGGTTGGCACTGCCCAGGCTCCCCAGGGCAGTGGGCACAGCCCCAAGGCTGCCAGAGCTCCAGGAGGGTTTGGACAATGCTCTGAGGAACAGGGTGGGATTGTTGGGGTGTCTGTGCAGGGCACAGGGTGGATGATCCTGGTGAGTCCCTTCCAGCTCAGGATGTGGTTCTAAGTCCAAAGTTCAGTGTGTGAGGAAGCCAACAGGAATCCCTAAAAGGGGTATTTTCCCAGCTGTACCAGAACTGCAGGCAGCACCCAGGGAAAGGGCAGCAACAGCTCAGTATCGAGCAGCCTTTCCTAAAACAGCCTCCTGCTTCCCCCTGATTCTGGGGCCAGCACAGAAAGGCACATTTGTGCCTCAGATAAACAGCCAGGGCACACACTCACTCACCCAGACATTTACAGGAAGCAGGACCTGCATCCCTCACAAACCTCTGCTCTCTGGGCTCCTGCAGCTGGACTCCTAATGGAGAGGGATGTTTAAAGTCCACTGCACTTGGGAGCAGCATGTCCCCATGTTCCCTGACTTCCAGGAGATTTATGGCAAACCACCAAGAGTTATCATTTTCCTCATGGCTACATTCTTATTCACTTCTTTCAGGGAGATTTATGGCACCTCCTGAAGCCAATAGCCCAAAAGATGTTTGTCAGCTGGAAACAGCCCATGGATAATTGACAATAGAGCTGGAGCCACAAAAATCCAGCTCAATAATTCACATTGCAGGTTACACCACATTTGGGTGGTTGGGCTGCCAAGGCATCTAACTAATTTCTTTTTTAGGAGTCGATTATTGCACGAACATATGTATATTTATAGCATTTCCAGTGTGGCTGCAAAGAAATATTTCCATCCCTGAAGGGGTAATTCAAACAGGCTTGTATTCAGCCACACTTGATTCTGGCTTTTGTAGAAGTGAGCAAGGAATAAATCAGCTAGAAAATCTTTAGCTTTAGTAGAGGAGATAGAAAATAGCATTTTTCTATGTTTCTTGTGTTGGTCCTGCAGCTGGTACCTTGCTTGGAGGCTGAGGTGATCTCCCTTCCTCCCATCACACCAGGAATGTGATGGGAAACCATTGGGCATGGGAGTTGACACTAAATATCTTCCCACACCCATCACAAGGAGTTCTTCCTCCATAATTGACTTGTGTGTAAAAATGAACAGCAACAGTTTCCCCCCAGAGCTGCTGACAATAATCCTCTTTAGGGTGCTGATGACACCCACTGTCCCTGCCCTCTGCAGCAGCCTGGCATTTTACCTTCATCAATCCTGCTGTGATGTAAAACATTATAAAATCATTACAGTGCAAGGCAGCAGCACACAGACCTGCAGGGTCTGACCAAGGTGGCACAGGGGGATTTGCCCACTGCTGCTCTCAGTTGGTGTCTTTCAGAAATCCCTCTGTAAAATGTCAGTTAAAGTGCATTTCAGCCCCCACCCTGGGACCACAGCCCAGCTGTGGGCCACTTCATATCCTCTGTAGGAAATATGGGTTCCATGCTGCTACCTTCCTCTTCTCCTGATGATGTTTTGCCACACTGTGACAGCATTTTTCATCTGAGGTGATCCCAGAACACTTCACATGCTCTTTATATGTGATAAATGCAACCTGCTGCTTCCTGCTGCTTAGGAGAAGAAAGCCAGTGAACAGCAAACTCTAGTTTGTTGGGAATGAGATAACAATTAACAAAACCCATCCCTAATGAATAACAGCCGGGGGGGCTTTAGCAGCCTCCCAGGAAGGTTCTGTCTCTCATACAGCTCTTGGAGAATGATGTGGAGGATAAAGGTAATTAATTACCTGTACTTGCCCAAGAGATGAGCTGAGGTCCTCTATGAGTGTTAAACCAGAAGCACACTGGCCATTTTCTCTGCCTGCTTCATTTTGGCTTTCAGGTAGCTCAAGAAGATGATTTTCTTTGCTTCTTTTTAATTTCCCTGTGCTCAAAGGTGTTACTCTCTTACATCTCTGGGACTCATTCCAAGACTGGTGCTCTGATGGTCCATCAATGGACTTTTTTTGCCAGGTTCTCTCCCAGGAAAGTTGCTGCTGTTTGTGGAAAACTCACATAGTCAAAGCTCTTCTTACCACTGTTTGTTATGCACCTGGTACAGAAAACACTCATGAGCTCCATGGAACTGTGCCCAGCAGAGTCCAAGTGGGATGGATTGGTTATTTCATTTCCTGGGAAAGGCTGGAATTCCCCATGTGTGTGAAAATGGAGTGCTGGTCCATCTCTTTGGTCTCCAAAGAGCACTTTTCTTCAGCCACTCAGGGCACCTCTAATGTGAAGCCAAATCAATATGATTTTCACTTCTCTCTCTTGCCCAGTTTTTCTCTGTGCTCTTCAGCTTCCTTCAGACTGCCCTTCAAACAGGAACACCCTTGTGTGCCCTGTAGCCTTTCCAGCCCCACCTTGCTTTGTTATCTTCAATTCTTTTCTTCCCTTGGCTTTTCCACGTGAGCAAACCCCACAAACACAACATGTCTGGTGAGCTCCAGAGGAATAATTTACATTTCTCTGCAGAGCTCAGTTGTTTTTCTTTCCTTGCCTTCCAGCTGATTTAGTGCAAGGCTGCTGGAGCTTTGGGGACACATGGAACAAACAACCCTCTGACTCTTTCCCTCAGACACGTTCTTTCCAAGCTATTTCCAGCACAGTCCCTTTTTTCCCCTCCTCTTGCCCCCCTTCCCCTGCCCTCAGCCTGTCTCCACTCCTCTTAACGTGGCTGATGTTTGGTATCTCTCCTCTTTGTGCTGCTCTGTGTGTGCTATTTAATTTTTTTTTAACACATCAGAGTTGTTTTGATTACAGCCAAAAAAGCTGGAAAGTTTGGAAGTGTAAATGTAAACCTTGGAGTGACAGGTCCCTCCACCATGTCCTTCCAGAAGCCCTTTCCATGCTTGTTTTAGAGGAGCTTAATTAAGCCTCAAAGTGGAATATTTCAGATATGTGTTGTTTTCATCTTAAGTTTGGGTCACTTTGGTAAAATTTCAGCTCTGGGACTCAATGGAAAGTCTAAAAACTATCCAAGTGAAAAGGAGGTAGAAAAAAACACTAAATACAGTATTTCCTGGGTAATAGAATGGCATTTCTGTACATGTTCCTCCATGTTTTGTTCTAACACTGAAATCTCTGTGACTTTTACGTAGGTACATGTTGTATTTTGAAGTTCTGTACTGCTGCAATGGTCCTGAAAACAGGAGAATTTAGACCAAACAAGTTATTGCTGTAATAAAGTCGTATTTGTAAGTTCTGTACTGCTGCAATGGTCCTGAAAACAGGAGAATTTAGACCAAACAAGTTGTTGCTGTGATAAAACCACGAGCAGTTTGGTGCTCCCTGCATTAGGGTTGTTTAGGACAGAGTGTTGGTAACACCAGCTCTTGGGATAGATGGATGAGACAAATCAGTATTCCAGCAGTAAGGAGTGATGAACAAACGTTTCACCTTCTCTCTGTGTGTGGTGTGTTCTCCTCTGGCAGTTGTGGGGTCTCCCAAGGGAATTTCTTTCTCGGACATCACGGAAAACGCTGCCGCAGTGAGCTGGACCCCGCCCCGCTCCCGCGTGGACACCTTCAGGATCTCCTACGTCCCTGTCACGGGGGGTGAGTGACCCTGAGGAGGGACAGCGAGGCAAGAGGGGGAGCAAAAAGGGTTTGCTGTGCTGCCATCCCCCTCTCAGTGCGCATCCCAAGGGATTTTACTCTTTTTCCTGCACCCCAGGAGGGTGGGTGTGTAACCAACAGCGCCCACATCCCATGGACGAGGCTGGTGAGGGAGGTGCTGGAATGGTTGTACTCCTAAAATGTCTCTGTCTGAGCCTCCTCCCGGTTCCAAACTGTCTCATTACTTTTCAGGCACTTTATGAGCTGAGCAGATTGGAAAAGATGGCCCTTGGAAATCATAATCCATGGTTATAAGAGTTTTCCAGCGCAGTGATTTTACTTAGTGCTCCTCAGGGTTGTCTCATCCCACCCATTATAGCTCTGGTTTAGTGTTCAACTTTAAAAACTCCCTAAACTTAAACCAATTTTTAGCATAATTTAGGGACATCTCTAAAGGGAAACAGCTAAAGAACAAACACTAGAGATGTCAGGAAAAAAATAGTCATGCTGCTGACAGAGACAATTAAAGATTTATGCCTTCAGACAATACAAACTATAATCACATCTTTAATCTTAAATATATAGTGGTTCCACAGAAGAAAAGGAATCAACAGTCACAGAGTTAGGCACTTGTCTAAGTGCTTCCCTGGAATAAACCCAGAATTTGAAATAAATATGTGTCCTAGAGTCTTCACCACACATACAGCACCTCTTAAAATATGATATATCCTTATTGAAACAAAGCAGGTCTAAACTTCGAGTCCTGTCCTTGCAGGTGCTTGAACTTCCATGTGGAGAGTGCTGTGTTTTCTTCTTACACCTTGTTTTTGAAATTAGATTTTTCTGAACAGAAATCCTGAAATCACAAACTGGTTTGGGCTGGAAGGGACCTTAAAGCTCATTTCATTCAACTCCCTGCCATGGGCAGAGACACCTTCCACTAGAAATGTCACTTTTTTCTTCCTGAACACAGACCAATTTCTTAGATTTGGGCGTTATTGCATCAGTATTTTGCCCTGAGGCTGCTCTTGGACATCAGTGGTTGTAACTAACTGGAAAAAGTCTCCTCTTCCTGTACAAGGGCATAATGTCTTTACCTAGAAACACATCCTTCAAGCTTTTCCTGGAGTGTAGTGTCACTAATCCCGTGGCATTTGGCCTCTTCCCAGGAACTCCAAACGTTGTTACAGTCGATGGCAGCAAGACAAGGACCAAGCTGGTGAAGCTGGTCCCGGGTGTGGATTACAATGTCAGCATCATCTCTGTGAAAGGCTTTGAGGAGAGTGAACCCATCTCTGGCATCCTGAAAACAGGTAATCCAGAAGGAGGAAAGAGCAGGTTTTCAAATGTCTCACCTGCAGACCCACTGAGATCCCATTTTTGCTGCCCACACGAACCCTGAGAAGCTTCTTGCTCACTCCTCCTTTGTGCCTTTGCATTTTAGATGAGCATAGAACCTGTAAGTTTGATCAAGCTTCCACTTCCTGAGTGCTAAACCAACTTGTTTGAATACAATTTGTGTATTTACAGTCCTAATCCAGCAGAAAAAAAACCCAGGAGTTTAATTAATGCCATTTTTGAGATGAGGGAGCAACGGTGAGACCAGTTTCTGTTGTGGAGTCAAACTCCACATCTCCCATGTTCCAACCTGTTTTAAGCATAAAAACATTCTCTCTCCTGGTTTGTTTTTTTTTTTTCTTCAATGAAGCTTTAAATATCCCTGCAGGAAATGAGGCTCCACTCTGCTCCTGCTGACCCCTCCCTGCACCCTTCATTCTTTATTTTTGGGGGTCTAACAAGCATCCAGAGAACTGAGGCAAGGAGCAAGATTATGAGTATTGGATAGTAACAGGAGATTTGTAGCCCATTCCAGGTGTACTGGAGGCAGAGATCCATCCTAATCCTGGGAAAGCATAAACCCATGTGAAAATAGAGTCCCACAAAGAGTCAGGGAAGGACATGGGGGGATTTTGGGTGGTTGGCAGGCTGTGGGATTGATTTATTTCAAACTTGCAGAGCAAGCTGCTGGAAGGTCACAGTGGCCATCAGTTATTGTCACTTTAGTTATTTATCCCAGCTCTGTCTCCTGAGTTTGCTCCAAAAACAGCCCAGATTTGAGAGTGTGGAGAGAAATACGTCAGCTCTGACAGAGCTGTTGAGATTGATGGTATTGAGGCTGATCTGAGAACATGGTTAGTTCTCTCTGTTCCCAGTGTTTCATCTCCCCAAGCATCGACCTCCCTTTCCAGTGGAGGCTTTTGGTGTCTCTTTATAGGCACTGACGTCTTCCCCGAGGAGCTCCACAATTCCAAAGGGGATCATAAAAGCTGCACCAAGGCATTTTCCACCATATATTTACAACAGAGTCGAGAATATTTGTCAAATTTCTTTAATCTGTTTTTTTTTTCCAGCTCTGGACAGCCCCTCAGGCCTGGTAGTGGTGAACATCACCGACTCTGAGGCTCTGGCAACCTGGCAGCCAGCAATTGCTGCTGTGGATAATTATGTGGTGTCCTATGCTTCTGAGGAAGGTGAGAAGAGTCAGGGGTGGCTGGGGAGATGGGGGTTACAGCTCTCAAAGTGTGCTCAGGAGTAGGTGCCAGGAAGATCAGAGAATCACACAATATCCTGAGTTGGAAGGGATCCTCCAGGATCATCCAGTCCAACTCCTGGCCCTGCCCAGGACACCCCAACAATGCCACTCTGTCCCTCAGAGTGTTGTTCAAACACTTCTTGAGCTCTGGCAGCCTTGGGGCCACAACCAGATGACAGGGGGCTGTTATTTGAAGGAGGTGCCTTGCTGGGAGCATTTTAAAAACGCTCATTTTAGTTGAGCACTTTCAATTTAGCCACGAACAGAGAGAACTGAGATTCCTGCAAAGCAAAGGTGGTGTTATAATTCCTGTGAACACTAGAGAGTGCTCATACTTTTGGATAAAGGTCTCTGGTGTTAATTCAGAGCCAGCAGAGGTGTCAGCACAGAGCTGGGTTCTGGGCTTTTACTATTTTGCAATTGCACCCAGCCAGTAAAAAAAACAAATCAGTGAACAAACCAGCGGAGTTGAGCGTGGCATGAACGTCTGAATGATGCTTCTCTTCTCATTTTCTTCTCTTCACCTCTTCTGTGTTTTCTTCTCAGAGCCAGAAGTCACCCAGATGGTGTCAGGGAACACAGTGGAGTATGACCTGAAGGGCCTGCAGCCTGCCACCGAGTACACGCTGAGCGTCCACGCGCTGAAGGACGCGCAGAGGAGCGAGACCCTCTCCACGCAGTTCACCACGGGTGTGTCCCACCCCCCTGCAGGGACAGCTGCCACCCCTG